AAAAAAAAATAAAAGGGAAATCTAGAGGATCAAAAGCGCAGAAAGCTTGTCCGAAGAATGAATTTGCCTAAAAAATGAAGGAAGACAGAAAAAAAAAAGATCTAAAATCTGAGAAGGAAACCAGGTCTCCTACACGAAATCACCCTACGGTTGTGTCGATGCATTTTCATGATATAATGTTTGCTGCGTATGCTGCGTGGACGCCAGTTTCCCGACAATAGAATCGCAGCACACCCGATACCTCTAACGAACCAGTTCAGCACTCGTATTCTCCTCACGGTATTCGAAGAACTTAAATTGAGGACCCATCCATAACCGCCGATGTGGACCGGAATATGTGCATACCTGTTAATAAGAATAAATATGAACATAAATGGCTTAAAAGTAAGCAAAAGTGGTCTCGTTGGAACCATGTTTACTTCAGAAAGACTGGAGCTACAAATTAAATAACATCCTACAAATTTGAGTAACAGCCTGACTGTGGTCTGTAATTCTAAACGATGAATGAAAGTATGTAGTCAGTCAACCAGAAAGTGCGTTATGACAACCCACAGTGCAAAAGAGCAGAGGGGACCACAATGTGTTAATAATGTCGAAAAAAAAATTCTAGGCGTTTCTAGCCTTGACAGCCGAAGGCATTCCCACCCTCATTTGCTGAACTGTTTTCGTTTCATTCAGATAATGAAAATGGTGTTCAAATTCTAGGAAACAAAGGAAACAACTGAGAAACCCGATGAATTGTAAATTACCCAACGGCGGTCGCTCAAAGGCTTACAAGTAGGTGCTCCTAAACTTTACGTATTCCAGCACGCAATGTCTACACTTTCATCTCTTAATCGAGTTTGAATGAGATGAGAGGAATTGTATTATACTAGAAACAACAGCGAAATCATTAGGGCTAGTCTCACAAGCTTGTAAGGAAAATCTAATTGCATCCAACATTTTCAGACACCTTACAGCTATTCACTACCTGAGCTCATTTCGACGGCCAAAACGGCGCAACAACGCAGTGTTTTACTTTTACTCTTATACCTATTTTCAATACTTGCTTACACCACCTTGCAAATAAGTAAGTAAATAAAAAAAATGACTGGCAGTAATTGAGAAAGAGTAAGTATTTTTGAGAGGCGGTGCCTCTAAGATAATTTAGGGTCACTCCCACCCGTTATGAAAACCCATACCTCTGTTCAAGCAGAAAAGTAGACAAAAGGTAATCTGTATTACCTCAACTTGCGGTATCCACGTATCTATCTCACGAGATACCCGAGAACGAGTTTTGTCGGGCAATAACCACGTCAGCAGAGGGCTCCCTTGCTGCAGTGGTGGCGGCATATCCGGGTTGTTTTTGGTCCTGAAAGGAGAAAGACTGTAGGGCATTTTATGGAGACAACACTTCGAAAAATTTCCTTCCTCAACAAATCAAGACTCAAGCTTCCCTGCTTATGAGCAAGCATTTCCGATTTGCCCATTCCCGCTCCCTAAGCTACGCAAGATAAGACGTCAATTTCGATGGCTCAGGCCTAATTGACTGCTGATGAGAGCGATGCGGTTGTCAAGGACTATAGTGCAACTGCGTACACAATGCTCAACGATTCATCATTGCCCTTGCCAGCCGTCACTTTGAATGAACGTCTGCAACTGAGCTCGTAAATATAAATTTCGCGGGCAGCGCTCTGACAACCACAAGCTGTCAACAGAAAACAATACAAGCATTTTTCTCACTAGATATTGATTCCTTAAGTCAAGGACAATTCCTACATTGTAATGGCGTAGGCATGTGCCGACTTNAGTCAGACCAATAAATATTTCTAACCAATGCATTGAGCCACCACCTCCCGGGTACCCAAAACACCTGCTTGAGTGACCAAACAAAGGCGGCTGACAGAATTACAAATAATACGAAAAACTGCAACCCTGAACGAATGTTCTAATCATCCGAGACTCACCTTTGAAGGGTCCACATCGAAGTTGGTGAAACATCAATCTGCGGCGGATCCTCGGCACTCTGGGATCCTTGCACTCGCGGGTTCAGCTCATACTCACATACTATACCTCCATCAGCGCTCGCGATCAAAAGCGATGGTGAGCGAGCAGACGCCATTGAGCGGCTGGCGAACGCCAACGATACGCGCGTCAGGTCGACACTTGCACGACGTTTCGAGGCGCCGCTCGAGCCCACCGCTGCCAGTGCCAACGGTGCCAAGTCCTTACCGAGAGCCAGCAGATTCGAGGCACTCATTTGAGGCTAAAAGGACAATTTCGGGTTCGGGATATGTCACTCATTAATGTCGATAAAAATGGCATAAAGGCAAACGAGGAAAAAAAGATTACAGACGCACTCTGATCTTTTTGACCGAATAGAGCATGACCGGCGGCGGGTACGGCCCTATGCGGGGATTCGCTGTTGATCGAGCCATTGTACGATTCCACATACATGGATGTTCACTAAACCAAAGAAGTGAAGGAGGTGGTCCTTTAATGATATAAATATCATGCCGACAACTCGAGAGTGTGCACCCAAAATTCAGACCTATTCTCCCACAATTTTTAAGGTAGGGAAACACCCCTGAGCCTATAACAATGAGGAGTCATTTAAACAAAATGAAAAAAACAACGGCCTACTTCAAGAAAAGGGGATAAAAACAACAGGAACTCCGCAATTAAGACACATATTAGTGAAAAGAAATTATTTAGGGAATTTTTCACTTGCTTTGTAGTTTTACGAAAGCAAACTGTTTAAAACTCCGAAAAAAAGTCCAATCGTTTTCCGTGAAATGCCTCATGTAGTACATTTTACTTGGGTCCTGAGAAATTGATGAATACGGTGATACTTACTACAAAACCCCGTCGTACAACATCATACAGCTATCATGCAACTATATCATACAAGGTTGCTGAGAGTGAAAACAATGAAATAATGAATTTTCTAAATCACAAACGATCCCAGAAAAAAAGTTTGAATAAAATTCTGGATAGGCTTTCCCACATATCCCAACACGCAGCCAAGTACAGTACTTGGAAAGAGAAAGTAAAAGAGGAGAAACGTGAAACTAACTTACCGAGACAACGGGGTTGCACCGCTCTGATTCCTCGAACGTGGTGGCAGTACTGCTTGAGTCTCCACACTAGTCAGACCTGCCGAACGGAGGAATCGTGATTCTCTGAATGCATTCCTTTTATGTTACGTCGATAAGCTGAAGATCAGACTAAAGGATTTCAAAATCCAATCAGACAACAATGAAAGACAGAGTGTGAGTACAAGTAAGTAAGTACATGATTAAAACCAGGACATCCAAATCGATCAAAGTTTGAGGGGATTCAACAAGAGTACATACGAAATACTGGTCTATACAAGCGGGAAAACCGAACGGAAGCTCCCACGTTTTACTAATTGGAAATACTTCTACCCATATCTAATTTTACCGCTTATTTGGGCCCGATTAATACAGATTCAAAAAGATGGCGGTATTCAAAAAGTTTGCATCACGGGCAATACAATCCATGCGATGGTGAAAGCTGATTATTTCAAAATTTGATTGCGGTTCTTGGTTATCGAACATGACATGAAGTAAAACTCCTTTCTCTTACATTATATGGTCATCAGAAAAAGGCTCTCTGCAGCAAGCAGTTTGTAATGAGGCAGAACCCCTGACAAGTTCCAAAAATTGGACGACTAATCCAGAAATCCTAAACGTTCCTCTATCAAAAGTAGAAAACCGTTTCGGAAAAGGAAAGTAGAGGAAGGATTAAAAATCGATACAAATACGAATGACAACATAATGTTACTATTGAAGTGTTTATCTAGTACTCACTTGTTCGTAAAATGTTCCCCATGAGTTCGTCTTGATGGTTTTCCACCATATGGACTAATGGCGAATACATGACAAGTGCCATGGTTCGTGCATATTGACACCCAACGACAATCCAATGAGAACGCACATGACACCACCTGTAATACGAAACTTGAAATGCGAACCCATGGGGGTGTCAGGCCCAGCAGTCAAGTAAACTCTGAGCTGGCCCGATAATTACTCAGACACCTATAAACAAAAGCGAAAAATTAAGAAAATACATATAAACTTAAGGAACTTACCTTCGCAACTGTTGTTCCACGCCGTAGTCGATAAAGATGTTGTACTGCAGACAGCAAAGGAGTGAAGGGATGAGTAAGAATCGAGAAAACATTGAAAACACAAGCTGATGTATCTGTCGTCAACAACAATCGCCCATCCGGTGACCATGCAATTGTGGCCAATGGCTCATTATGGGCAGCAAAGTGCGCCATAATAGCAGATCCCTCAGAACTCTGAAAAGCCACCGTCAAGATAGCCCCACTGGTGAACCAAGGTTCCACTTACATCTTCAACTTCCCGCTCCAGGTCGAGGACAGTGACGATTCCCATAGGGACTTCACCAGCTTTCACTCCACTTCCACCAGTCACTGATGATGTTACCGTTCGCGAGAGAGCCTGAACATGCATTCGTTGAGCAGTGTTGGCTCAATTATTTCGAAGCAATTCTTCTCGTCTCTGAATAATTAAGCAGCGACAATCGACTCTATTGGCGTCTCTTCCTAGCAGGACTAAGAGGAACACCTCAGGGCTGCTGTCGATTGGTTTCAGTTCTTAACAGACCCCTTTCACCACAGCGAGGGGAAAACCCTGAGAAAAACAACAATCATCGCGAAAATGCGCACCGAGACTGAACCTCCGAGCTAGGTTGTCGATTTTTTTTTTGCAAAAGCTGAAACTAGATTTCGAACAATTTGCTCCAAAGCGAGTCTCTTTAAGACATAGGGATCGAAATGCAAATTCGAACATAGCGCATTTGGGGAAATCGAAAAGAGGTCTCAAACTATCTAGAGAGTGCACAGGGAGAACACAGTAACTTCAGTACGAAGGAACTAAATTGAAATAGGAACACGAAGTAGGAACCAGAAAGTTGCAGATGAGTCCTCTATTCAAAAGACTTCAAATAATATAAAAAAGAATACCAAATAAATAAAAATTCGTTTCAAATTCAAATACACACCTTTGCTACACTGAACACTTGATTTGCATAAGTCGCCGGCATGTCGTCCACATCCGTGCACATTCCTCCACAACTCTGTACATCCGGATTCAGCTAAAAAAGTAATTTTGAGCGGTTATTTGTCACTGCAATGTTCTTTGTGCGCATGCTCTCAGTCATTATCCCCGGAAAGCTTGCTCATAAAGCCCACATCAAAATGACGAGACAATTTATGGTCTCCATGCATTAGGTATCCGTGGTGGGCAAGGAAAACCCTAAATGGATCATTGATGCATTTCTTTTCATGCCAATTAAAGCTAAGGGAAAATGAAAACCGAAATTATTAGCCTAAGTTCAATTCCACCACTTCTTCGAATCACCGGATAAATCACTCTTAAGCGCTAAACCTCACCTTGAAATCTGCAAAGGCAATGAATTGCTGATTGAGTGCAACGGCCGGAGCACAAGATTCTGGCGGCTGGACGACCCGAATGGAACGTATTTCTGTGAGAGTGACGATGTCGTGAACAACCAAGCGCGTAGACAATGAGACCACAAGATATCTGCAATAATTTCCATATGTTGACTCATACTCCGAGGCTTTTCTTTCGGATATTCACTTTTACTCTCAACTCATAGCGACACCAAATGATAAAGAGTTTAATCAAAGATTTGGGCGTGAGTAGTGTAGGGGCAAGTGGCGCACTATCATATACGCGTGGTTCGGTTATCGAAGCTTGGATTAATATTCGCCCAAGCCTACCGATCTTTCTACCCGTTCAGAATCGCTTAACTGGGCAGGACTCCTCTGTGAGGATAACAGCACTAACATGTATCTAGCGGGCTAACACAAGATAACTCGGCTGGCTCCATACACGACCTAAGAATCGAAGGAAATGGTGACTGCACACAAGATTTCATCCATCCTCACAGAGGAGTCTGGCTCATTAACACGACCCCAAACAGATGAAAGTTTTGTAGGCCTAGGCGGATACCGATTCATACAAGCACAATGATACATTCCCGCCTAATCCCAAGTCTGCTTTATCCGCTGCCTTTATCTGGGTATACCTAAAGGAAGCTCCCACTTCAGGCACACATGTAATGAGCATCATAGAGGCGCTTTGAAGTGAAATGAGAATCGATTGCGAATTCTCATTAAACCACGCGGTTGCAGAATTACAAGCCTCTCATGAGACCATCATATTGCAGACTAAGGGCCGAAATAGGATCACAATTAAACAGTTATAACAACACGAAAAAGTCTGATTAAAAGCAAGTAGAACAAACCTAGCTGCAGCACTCAAGCCACATATGGGTTCCTCGAACGCAAATCGCCGAACTCCTTTACCGTTGCTTAGTGAAACTACGGACACGGAACAATATTGTCGATCTGGTACTGTTGTGTACGTGTCCACCATCGCTACGAAAGGTCTTTGATCAGCGAACCTGGAAGCAGATCCAGAGCTAATAAACAAGACAGAAAATCACAAAAAAGATGACTGCTGCTTGCTCTTTACAACGATTTGATGATCAATTAAATTCGCAGTCAAATTGAAGCCTATTGTTTTCTTAGGGAACAAAAATCATTACACTTTCTTTGAGAAAATGTGGGCCTCACAAAGGAAGCTTTCCGCGCCTTGAAAACTTCACCCCTTCTACAGCATGGATACCCTAAGCACCAGGAAAAATACTCAATGGAAACACCACTTTTGAGAAAGCTGCTTCGATTAGAGCTCGATCGCTCGATAACTCTTCATTGCCCGTCTCCTATACACAAAGATTTCTTACGTACATGTCAATTTCATCACTGTGCAGCTCAAAATTGCCCGACAACGGCACAAAAGCTCGAATCGGACCTTGACGTTCGGACATTACTTCCTCGCAGTCTCCGCTCTCCTGTAAATATAACCTTGAGGAAGCAATGCTGACCTCGACGTACATGAGAAAGCATGTGCATTTCAAAAATACCGTAATCTAAATATTTTGGGTCAAAAAGCAGTCTTCCTTCAACTG